ACTAGTTGCTGTCGATAGACAAAAAAGCGATTTGTAGGGACCACAGAAGAATAGTAAACAAATTGAGGGCTATTCTGGCCAGTGTCACATACATGACTTCACGTCCACTACTGCATTTTTCTTCATTTAAAAATTATAAACAAAAATTGGTCAGACTTATATGTGGGTATCCCGCATCCCTGCCTAAAGTGTGAACCGGAGAATTTCATGGCAAATAAAGGCGCTTAGCGTGCAAATGGTCCTTCTATTGATTTTACTGGAACTTACACAATAAGAGAAATGTAAACAAACATACTTTACCTTCTCAATCATTTAGCGGTACCAGGATAGCCCTTTTATTGATCACATCATCCATACGGGTCACATCGAACTAAATGTCTAAAATAAAAAACCCCGATGCGCCCCTGAAAAGGAGGTTCCTAGACGTTGGCCTGCTTTTTCCTCTTCATCTTTTTTGTCGGTTCACAGTTTGTAGCCCAGTGCCGTGGTATTCTGTATTTAATCATCCATTTAATTATCTCTTTTACTGACTTCCTGTCGCCTTCCTCCCAGATATTCTGCTGTAAAAAGTCTCACATGCAGTTTGGTCTGGCTGCATTATCACTATATGATGGAGCCATTTAAATTTTTGTGTTGCTGTGTCTGTAAATATAATCCAGACATGTTCTTATTCCAACTTTCTGTATAATACTAGAATTTTTAACCGTGACTTTCCTTTTCTTGTTGGTGGCCTTGTGGAGACAATGCCTTTCACATGTTGTTATTTCCTGTTCTAGTGTCCTATTTATTGAACATATTTGGCATTGATAGCATAAATAGGGATAGACTCTACTAATTATGTTTTGTTTTGCTGGAAGGGAGACGTTTGGGTTCTAAGCAGTTATGCTAACTGGTCGTTGACAGCATTTGTTTTCTGTACTGGTCAACACTGGTAGCACATCGGGCATACGAGTTTAGACTTGTTTTTTTTTTTATAGTTCACTCAGCATTCAGTTAGTGATGAGGTCAACCTTCATCCGGCGCCCTAACTTACTTGGGTATTAACAGACACCAATTTTAGGATGGGTCTCACTGATGTCACATATCGCTCCTGTCGCTTGCCTGATTTAAGGATTTCTCATTAAGAACCAACAGCACTATGAAATAATTATGTTGAGTCGTTGGCTCGTATTGGTCTAAGAGATGCCCCGTGGCCAATATACGCTCAACTTATTTCAGGAGTAGGGCAACTCAAGTATTGGCACTACAAAATATATAATATTCCTAGGCACACTTGGCTGGACACCCCCACTACTATAGAAAGATAGCCCCCAGGTTATGATAGTATACTATCATAACCATGTTAACACAGATAAATATCATTAATTGAACATACATGTATTTTAGACATCTAAGAACAATGAATGAGTGACACTTCAGTCAATAGTGAAACTTTAGAAATACTGTAATAAGTGTAACACATACATTATATAAGAATCAGCAAAAAACTTCAAGAACCCAGAGTGATATGAAGGACCAAAACTTCAACTAGATCTGACTGAACGTGTATGAATGTTCCAGAGTCTGCCTAGATCATCCTTATGATCAGTGTGGACATTTAATAGTGAAGCCTGGCAATAAACCCATGATTGCCCACACTTATCTGAATCCTTGGTTTCTTGAACTGGCTGGATGTTCAGTCACTCTGTTGTTACGGTCAAGAAAGTCCCACACTAGACACTCGAACACTGGAGATACACCCAGGCTCCTGGAGAGGATCTCAGGTACCAAGTCAAACACTTGAGGCACAAACAAACTGCTGGATTAATGATGATGGAGGTACAACACCCATAATGTTGTCTGTAGACCAACTGGAGGATTTCATTACTTGATGACCACAGTTAGGTTCACCATCTGAGGCCCACCACTGACTTAGACATAGGTGACTTCCTTGTAGGTGGTTTTGTGGACTGCTGATTCACTGCCTGGCTTCCAAGGAGATATCATCAAAAGCTTAGGAAATGTCCTAGACACCAAAGGACGCCTCCTCAAAGCATAATGTACGAGACATATTTGAGAACATCTGTTCTTCTAGGCAGTCAGGCAGAAAAAAAAAAAAAAACGCCCGCTTCCAACTACGTTTAGCGTCACTAGGAAAAAAGTTCTCTTGTATTCCTGCCTAAGGAGTGAACCGGTTTACAGGCATTTCTAAATAAAATACCAGGATTCGCCAACCTACAGTAGCAAGTTTGAAAATGAAGATTTATCAAAGCAACTAGAGGGTCCAGACATGGATATATTACCAGATAAAGGTATATATCAATATAAGAGACTATATACCCTTTCGGACGGGTTTAAGTTTGAAATTTGACTGAGCGCGAGGGATTTCAGAGTCCCGACTCGTCCATTGTGTAGGGTGGCTGCTCACTACACGACAACTGATAAAGCAATGGCAAATTACTGTACGTAACATTTGCCAAGAGAAACCAGAACAGCCAAAAAACAAAATAAATGCTGGGGTTGGTTCTGCAACGTCCTGTAAGAGATATGCAGCTAACTTCAACTATTAGTTTAGCCACATTAACTTCGCCATCGTAGAATTCCTCGACGAGCCCGATTTGCTGTGCGCACATTGGGGAGACTCCTTTGTTAAACACACACACACACACACACACACACACACACACACACACACACACACACACACACACACAAACCTAATCTGATATTTGAATCGTATGACTATAGTCGCGCCCAGCAGACATGATGTTTAACAATTAGAAGTGTGAAAAGTTTTTTCCTTGAATCACTTATACTTTTGTCATTTGATTGACTACATTTTAGTCATTTTGTTTTCGTTTTAATTTATTTTAATCTGCCAAAGACACAGACTAAACATTTTACATTATCTAGCTTTGTGGCTGTTTCCTTGATTTTTAATCTTTAGCATCTCCTATGAATTGCTAAGTTCAAACGATATAGTGAATATGAAGACGACATAGAGGAACCAGATATAAGACTTGCTCGCTGTTGTCGACTGCATAGCAATAAGAAGACAATTAAAATAGTGCATGCCGACCCAGCCCGATCTTCCCTAACTAAATCATATAATTATCTCTTTGCCATAAATTGCAAAGCACGGCTTTTTAAGACGAATACGAAAGTGAGGAATATAAAATTATGTATTTTCAAACAACGATTACCTGTCTCATTATTTTCGAGAATATTAGGAAACTGCCACAAATTAAGTACTGAAAATGATAATATATGAGACCACGATCAGTAAATATTCCGCAGATAACACATGGTTTGACGTGCATCGTCATTATACCTCAGATAATGCATGGTTTGACGTGCATCGTCATTATACCTCAGCGGTTTTTACCCTGCATATAATATTTTGAAATAAACTTAATTAACTGTGTGCTTTCTGTAAAATGCAAAGGGTGTATATTTTGTCTTGACGAAAGATAAATTAAAAGCAGTAAATATACAGCTATGCATATTTAAATTATGTACCAGAAATAGTGAAAAGTTATACATTATTATTATAATCAAAAAAGTACTTCAGAGTTGAGCAGATGAATAAAAAAATCTCCAAAATATTTATCTCCGTCACCTATGGTACCACATGCCACTGCTGTCTTATCTTTTAGAAGCGAATCTGACATCTGTGGGAAAGTTCAGTTTGCTATGTCATCTCGGTGTGAAACAGGTCGTCTACTAGAATAAAATCTGAATGTTTCAATTGTTTCAATTTTTTTCAGTAATTCATTGACAACAACAGTCATCATATTAGTTCTTGGACTCTCTCCAAACCACGTTGACCTAACAATGTAAGGACAGAAAAAAAAAAACTTGTCCTGGTCTTATACATATAGATACAATTAATTCGTACATGAATGCCAGTATAGAACTGCTACAGTATAAGCAAATGTAAAATTTGTGTTTATTTATGTATGCAAAGTAAGGTGAAAATGTGTGGTACTCATTATTTTTTTTAAAATAGGGCTAAGAAAAAGACATAAAAAAAAAAAAAAAAAAAAGAAACTGCATAACTTCACACTATGTTAGTATAGAAATTTGAACAACGGATCATCATCATGGCACACGGGTAGTAACCCACGACTGCTCCGCTCTTTCTTCTAACTCAAGTCTGAGTCATTAGAAGCCCAGCACAGTGCACAGGGTCTGTAGCACTGTCGAGGATCCTGAAATACTTTGAGTAGATTTATAACACCACATTTGGCTCGTGAAGCGCCATTAGGCTACTCTTTTCGAGTTCCACCTGCCAAGGGAAATTTCAAGTGCGCAACAATGTACACAGAGACCAGGGGAAATACTAAAAGTATAAATCCATGTGAAAAAAAATCAAAGCTTTTACCAAGGATTAAACCTGAAACCTCTATAACTCGAGGCGGACAGCATACCACGCGACCAAGCAGCCTCCTTGTTAGAACATAAACCCGTGACTGTGGCAATATTAACTTATCAAAGAAATATTTACAAACATCCGTTTATTGTGTACATCAAAGTACTCAATGTGTTATTACTAATTGATAATGGTGTTCCTCATGTGCGTTTTCTGGTCTCGGCAGGAATGGGGGGGGGGGGGGGGCGTGTGGGGGGGGGGGGGGTGTTGACCCACTGCTACGTGACAAGCATGCCATAAAATGCAGATAATTTAAAATGTACCAAAATATGATGTACTTAGCTAAAATGCATAAACATCACAGGCTAGCTGTAACCGCCACCCCGACGCGCCAACCACCACCCTTTTAAAATTAAAGGCAGGAAAAAAAAAACAATCAGAAAGATGCTATCCTTCGCAATCACAACTTCAGCGTTTGAAATATTATTGAGTTTTTAAAAAATTCTAAACATATTTCCAATCTCTAGGATCACTACAATATTGATGAATCAAGACTGAAAAATAGAGACAGAACGTAAAACATACATATGTAATATGAACGCATTTAGTTTTGCCATGATTCCTTGGAGAAACCTGTCACTATATGAAGTCAACAACGATGGAAATCGTGACCTGTCTAAATCATTTATTAGTGATCAAATGAGAATATACTTTCAGTGGATTGGTTATTCTATCGTTTGTGAACTGATCGATATCTTTGGTACAATATCCAACACTATCAACATCATGTGCTTTCTAAAGATGGGCTTTAAGGACCCAGTCAATGTCAGTCTTTTGGGTAATGTACAATAACTTGTTTTCTTGTGAATGTGTTAGTTGTCGTTACAGAATAAATTGTTTACTGAAACCGAATTTCGTTGGCACAACAGCAAAGTCACGTGAGTACTGAATCATTCTTCTGAAGAGAGAAAATAAGCGATTAAATATAAAGTGGCAATTGCAAATTGCGTGGTTGCATTATTAGTTCAACATCATTTTAACCTGTTAGGAGTTTGTAATTCACATATTGCAAAGTGATATATGTTATTACTTAAAATAAACCAGGTGGAAAAAAAACCCCCACACAAATAGACATTAGGTGTCGCTGGCGTAACAGCCACACTATCAGAAAATGCAGATTTATCATAATGGTTTAGAGGACACAGATGCAACTACCAAAGAAACCGAAACAATATGGCTATAGTAAATACGGTTAAGAAGCTGAAGGTCTCAGTAATTCTTTAAAAACAAAGTGGGCCTAATAAAATGTTTAACATTGGAAACTGGAAGATGAAACAATAAATACTATCCAGTTATGCTGCAACTAACACAGAACATAACATCGACAACGTTTCAAGGAAAACAAAAGACTGATTACTTTTTATTGGTCGTGAAAAGAATTAAAAATAAACTGCGTCACGGTAAGGAGAATAAGTAAAGTAGCAATAAGAAGCAGAATAAGAGAAGCAGCGATAAGAAGTAGAATCAGTGAAGTTGCAATGATAAGGAAAATAAGTGAAGTAGCAATGAGATAAAAAAAGAGTAAAGTAGCAATGAGACGGATAATAAGTGATGTAGCGATAAAAAGGAAAATAAGTGAAGTAGCGATGAGATGGAGAATAAGTGAAGTTGCAATGAGAAGGAGAATAAGTGAAGTTGCAATAAGAAGGAGAATAAGTGAAGTTACAATGAGAAGGAGAATAAGGGAAGTTGCAATGAGATGAAGAATAGGTGACGTAGCAATAAGAAAGAGAATAAGTGAAGTAGCGATGAGAAAAAGAATAAGTAAAGTAGCAATGAGAAGGAGAAAAAGTGAAATAGCAATGAGATGAAGAATAAGTTAAGTAGCAATGAGAAGGATAATAAGTGAAGCAACAATGAGATGGAGAATAAGTAATGTAGCAATGAGATGAAGAATAAATGAAGCAGCAATGAGATGGAGAATAAGTGAAGTAGCAATGAGAAGGAGAATAAATGAAGCAGCAATGAGATGGAGAATAAGTGAAGTAGCAATGAAAAGGAGAATAAGTGAACCCCGTCGTAAGAAGGAGATAAGGTAAGTATGTTATAAGAAGGAAACTAAGTGAAGTACGACATAAGAAGGTGAATAAGTGTAGTAGACATACAAAGGTGAATAAGTGAAGTACACTAATTGAAGGAAATTAAGTGAAGTACGTCAAGAGGAAGAGGCCCACAATGGGACCAAGAGAAAGGATTAACTCTTTGAGTCCTAGGGGGTTTCGCATCACAGGCCCAGGGGGTAGTAATGAGAGTTATAAAATCGGCTCATCATGCGTTCATTGGGCTTCTGGATAGTAACCTATTCACGTATGATGCGTTCCTTTGGACTCAAAGAGTTAATAAGGAAATTCAGAATCTGTTTAAATCATCACTAAACACTGGCACCATGAGACCTAATAGACTAAACTGGTTGGGGTAAATTGAAAGAATGTCAGATGACAGAGAAGAAAAACTGTATGCACAAGACAACGAGTGAGACCAAGAAGACTGTGGAGAGATAATGTCCAGACAGACCTGCAAACACTTGATGTCACCAAATGGAAAGAGAAGGCCAACCAGAGAGATAAATGGAGGCGGGTGATATCTGCAGCAATGAACCGCAAGGGCTCGGAATGCTTAAAGAAAAGAAGAAGTCTCGCTTGTATGTGTGCGAGTTTTTATAGGTTCACCTCTTAAATGGGATCTTGCAGTTTGTGGTTTAGTTTACAGCTTTGAAACAGAATCTGCCTCTTTCGGCCCAAAGCATTCAGTTTTAGCAAATTCTGTTATCATGAAATCACGTGTATCTTTTTTCACGCTTATAATTCACCGCTACTTGTAAATCTATTCTTTCAGGGCTTGCCATTTCTGATTTGCTGTGTGTGGCGACTCTCTTATGGAGCAATATTTGTTTGAATCCTGCATTTAACGAAGCAGATCTGCCGTTTATGCCTCTACAGCTGCAGTATATCACAACGGCCTGGCTACACGTCATCTTTGCTAGGGTCACCAGCTGGATCACAGCCTTCATCACGTTAGAGAGATGTCTGTGTATTACTGTCCCAATGAAGGTGATAGGCTCTTTTTCTATATTGTAAAAAAAATAATTCTATTGACTATTTTGTAGCATTACTATTCTATGTGTGTGTGTGTGTGTGTGTGTGTGTGTGTGTGTGTGTGTGTGTGTGTGTGTGTGTGTGTGGTGCGGGACCTCGTTTTTAGGGAGGTTGGAAAGAGAAAGGGAAGAGAGGTGGTAGCCCACCGCACCCTAGCAAGAATGTTGTAAAATAATTGTGTGCCTGAAATCGGGGATGTTGAATCAGAACATGCAAATATCACAGCCTAGTTGTAACTACAGCACAGCGTTCCAACCGGTCTGTTAAAGGCAAATGTAGCAGAAGAAGGTTTGCGACTTATTTCATTTTTTAAACCATTTCACGTGTCTTTGTTAATCGTTGCTTCTGTCTTGTGTACTGAAAAAAAAAAGTCATACATTACTGTCTTCCCTGTTATGATTCTAGGTTTTCTATTCACTTATCTCGTTTTCTCCTTTCATCTCTCTAGTGTTTCCTGTTGTAACGACTTTACACACGTTATCCTGCTAACGTGACGTGCTCAAATAATCTTGTTTTCTCAACTTCCAGTGCTGGTGATAATTTCATGAATATAAGAAGTGTTATGTTTGGTAGCATATTTTAATTATCTCACATTCGTCCAAATGTTCGTTATATTTTTTATAAGTTTAAAAAAAAAACAAAAAACAGTGTCTTTTAGGAATTGCGTATTTGTTTATTTATTGTTATTAATTTAAAGGTACAGTTAAATCTATTTTGTTGTTCATCGTGTTTTTCTACTTCATATTCATCCTCAATTTCTTCTCAGGCACTCTAAATTATTGGTCTTAATCCTGGGTGGCGCAACGAGATTTCACATGGAGGGAGTGGGGGTGGCGTCGGAAAAGGGGTGGGGGGGGTTGTTATAATAATAATAAGTTAAAGGTCCCCTTTTTCATCCCTTTAGGCGTATTGGGAATATAGGGCTAGACGTGTATTTGTAATGACCGATCGGCATTCTGTGGGTGATGTGGTCAGCATCACGTCAGCCGCCTTTACTTCCTTGGACAGCACTTGGTACGCACTCAAGGCTGGGTTGGCCTCTGAGTCAGACCAAAAAAAAAAAAAAAAAATTCCGGCTTCGTCAGAACGAAAACAAACGATCTTTCGATCCGTAGGCGGGCGTCTAGCTGCCAACGCCACGGCGACTCACAAACTAATAATAATAATAATTCCAGTCTAATTATTTTTTAAAAAATGCATTAAAATTTTTTTAATCCAAAAGCCACAGGCATTATTAGTTTTCTTGAGCTGGTTGTATGACTGCAAGTAAAAGTCTATTACCATGATAACACGTGCATTTAAATACTGATCAAGAAAATAGTTGAACCAAAACATATCACCATACTTCGTCTCTTGCATAGTCGTTGAGAACGCGCTTCATAATGTCGGGGTGCCGGGTTCGATCCCAGCTGCAGGCCTTGGGCCTTGCGTTGGTTTTGACAGTGGTATTTAGAAGCCGACTGCCCAGAAAGCAATGGCAAATGACTAGACGTAAATTTGCCTAGGAAAACCACAACAGCTAAAAAATGCTGGGGTTGGTTCTGAAACGTCCTGTAAAGGATTCGCAACTAATTATCACCATACTTTCTGTAAAATGAGCCGGCTGTAAAGTTCAGGATGTTCGCTTTTTACGACATGATTGTTAGGGAAACAGAGGGTCTATTCTCCATTTAACCCCTCCCCCCCCCCCCCCCCCCCCCCCCCCCACACACACACACACACAACATTTGGGCACTGGAACCCACACAGAGTATTTTTATTTTTAAAAGCAGTTGACCTTAAACGATATAAACTGTTTAGGCGTGGGTGAAGTTTAATCCCACCAGGACCGCAGAAGGAGCGATAAACAACCGGTGTTTGTGTGTGTGTCTCTCTCTCTCTCTCTTTCTCTCTCACTGTGTGTGTGTGTCTCTCTCTCTTTCTCTCTCACTGTGTGTGTGTCTCTCTCTCTTTCTCTCTCACTGTGTGTGTGTGTCTCTCTCTCTCTTTCTCTCTCACTGTGTGTGTCTCTCTCTCTCTTTCTCTTTCACTGTGTGTGTGTCTCTCTTTCTCTTTCACTGTGTGTGTGTGTGTCTGTCTCTCTTTCTCTTTCACTGTGTGTGTGTCTCTCTCTTTCTCTCTCACTGTGTGTGTCTCTCTCTCTTTCTCTCTAACTGTGTGTGTCTCTGTCTCTTTCCCTTTCACTGTGTGTGTGTGTGTGTTTGTGTGTGTGTGTGTGTGTGTGTGTGTGTGTGTGTGTGTGTCAATGTAACTTGACGTAACAATGAATTCAGCTTATTAAAGAACAATTGTCAGTGCCAACTTTGGGGTAAGAATCACTTGGGCACAAGTCACAGAAACCCCGCCTAACCGGCAGCTTATTTTAGGGCGCCCGACAGAAGCCAGGGTTTAACATTTGAGCCCTAAATCACTAGTTTTTGGTGATTGCTTCTTTTTATTTTGAGTTTGATTTCTGTGGATTGGTTTCTTTAAGTTTTCGTCAACAGTGCTGCTTGGAAAAACCTTTGTGTGTGTGTGTGGTCCTCATTGTTAAAAAAAAAATATACGCCTTATTATGTTGTAGGAGGGGAAGGAGTCGGGTGTGCGGCGAGGGTCTTGAAATATATTTAATATGCACGCAACCTGAAGGGGAAAAAAAGGGGGAGGGGGGTGGCAGGATGGAGTTTGACACTACTGATCTAAG